AGACACTTGGTGAAGTTTTTGCGGTTCCCTATGTAGAGTATCATGTCATCAACAAATAATTATAATTTCATTTCTCCTTTACCTATCCTTATTTCTCCTTTTTCTTTCTCTCTTCTAATTGTTCTGGCTACTTTTCCCAAAGCTATACTGAATAGGAGTGGAGAAAATGGACATTCTTGCATTTTTCCTTATTTTAAAGTGAAAGCCTTCAGTTTTTGTACACTTAGCATGATGTTAGCCGTTGGCTTCTCATAGATGGCTTTTATCAGATTGAGATATAGACCATCTATGAATATTCTCTGTAGGGTTTTTATCTTGAATGAGTGATGGTCTTTGTCAAAAGTTGTCTGTGCATTTATTGAAATGTCAATGTGGCTGTTGTTCTTTGTTCCATTGATGTGGTATACTACGTTAATGCATTTACACATGTTGAATCATGCCTACATTCCTGGAATTAATCTCTTTTGGAAATGAGATACAATCTTGAAGATTTGCTGCATTTTGTTTGCTAGTATTTTGTTTAGGATTTTTGCATCTATAGTGATTAGAGAGATTGACCTGTAATTGTCTTTTTCAGTTAAATCTTTCTCTGGTTTTGGAATCATAGTAAAAACTTGCCTCCAGATATGAGTTTAAGAGAATTGTTGTACTTTCAATTACACTAAAGACTTTGAGAAAAACTGGCATTAAATATTCTCTAAATTTCTTGTAGAATTTCTCTGTAAATCCATTGGGACCTAGGCAGGGTTTTTTTTTTTGTATGTTTCTTGAATTATATTTTGAATTTCATTTCTGGTGATTGGGTTATTCAGAGTTTGTATATCTTCTTGATTTAGTGTTAGCATATGTATCTAGGAAACTGTCCATTTCTTCTGTATCTTCCATCCTTGAGAGTAAAGATTTTGGAAGTATGTACTGATGATCTTCTGAATTTTGGTAGTATAGGTAGTGATTTCTCCCTTTTTGTTCATTGATGAATTTGAGTTTTTTCTTTCCATTTTTTTTCATGAGGTTGGTGGTGGTTTACCCATTTTATTTCCTCTTTCAAAGAATGAACTCTTTGATTCATTTCTTCTTTGTATTGTTTTCTTCATCACCAGTGCATTAATTTTTGCTCTAATCTTTATAATTTCTTCCCTCCCTTTGGGATTTGTGCTTTACTTTCTCTTTTTTATTATCATATCATTTTATAAAAATGTTAATAAACAGGGGCTGGGAGGTGACTCAGTGGGATAAGTGCTTCCCTGGCAAGCTCGAGGGTCTGAGTTCAATCCCTGGTTCCACCAAAAAAATGTTAATAAGCAATGATTGCAGGAAAGGAATTGTGGAGAGGAGAGTAATGATTGCAGCACATATGTCTTATAAGTAATTGTAGATGTGTTAACAAGTAAATAGCTATGGTTTCTCCTCATTTGTATTCATCTCAGAAATCCAAATCAAAATCACAGTTAGATAACATTTCTCATTGAAAAATAGGGAACACCTCTAATATTACTACATGACAATATAAAAGACTATGCTCTCCATTTTGGGTCTAGCTGTAGATCTCATACCTTAGAAACCAAATTTACATGGATATGGACTCATCTTTGAACTTCATGGTAGCCAGTTCCCTGTAAGAATGTGTAAATCTTCCTGAATCTGTTTTTCTAGTGACACTCTTTTGGTAAAACTGCATGGACCAGTAAACCAAGAAGAGACATAACTTGACAAGGATACCAAATGAAGAGGGGGATCTGAGATTGAGGTCCTGGAGACCGTATACAGTTTATGGCAGGAGGTCGAAGTAGAGGATTTAAAGAGGTGTGCTGTCCTCTTCCTGACCTTTTCTTCTCTCTGCAGCTTCAATAAGTTCTTTTCTTAGATGGACCCATTTTCTCAGGAGTTATAATTCCTCATCATGCTGGTGTGTGTTTTCCCTGGAGGATTATGTGTGTGCATGCTGAAATCTCTGACTTTCAGTTCCTCTGACCTTCTCAAGGAATGTCTAAGAGTTTGGCTCATTTTCACTTGACATAAACTTTGAGAGAGGTGGTAAATTTCCTTTCATTTATTTTTCCTATGAACTACTTTGACTCTTTTGGATTATCCTTGAAAGACGGGTGGTTATTCTATAGTTAGAATGATTTTCTTCCAACTAGGAGAATTCTCTGGAAAAGTTCTTCCCTGACCATCTTGTCTGGGCCAGGGTGTATGTCCACTTTTTAGTGAACAGCCTTCAATTTTCCTTGTCAGAGCCTGGTGTAATCTTTCAAAATCTTCCTGCTGAGATTGTGGTGGCTTCTACAGTTAACAAGTGGATTGTGTGTTCCACAGGAGTGCGATATGACCTCAGCTGCATCCTCTCCTGTCTCCAGTCATGCATCATAACCTTCCTCCAAGTTCCCTTCACTGAGTTCCTGCGGATACTTCTGGGCCAGAAACCAGGAATCATCTGCAATACTGGATTATCTGCCTCTTCAGGTTGCTTTGAAATTGGTAAAATCTAAAACTTTATTTCTGAAAAAAACTCTTTCATTGTAAATTTATTTTAGTTTTGCATATGGCAGTAATGAATTTCTATGCTTCTACGGATTGGAGCAAAGGCTAAGAACACTTTTATTGTTCAAATTTGATATCCTATTTGAGACAAGAGTTAAGGATCAGTATTTGTAGAAGACATTTGTGGCAAGGGATATAGCTCAGTGGCATAAGTACCTGCTCGGCAAGCACAAGGCCCTGAGTTTGATCACTAGTACAAAAAAGAAAGAAAGAAAGAAAGAAAGAAAGAAAGAAAGAAAGAAAGATTTTTCTAATCATGATGAAATCTCAGTACCAGAAAAAAAATGTCATGAAAAGATTTAGAGATTTCAGGCATCTACAGCAACCTGAAATTCAGAAGGCCCAAGAGAGAGGATCTGGTTATACCTCTGTTGAAGGTATATACTGCAACACATATGTGTTATGGACTAGAAACAACAAGCATATCTGGAACATCAGACTGGGACATAAATTCTCAGTCTTAAAACACAGAACACAGCAGTGATAATGTTGGCAAAGTGAGTGTACAGAAATGTGAGAAGGTGGAGGTGCGCGAAGTTCCCCATGTTGAATGTGACCATGAGGTCGTTGATCACATCTGCGGGTTAGTGGTCGCTATGGTTTGTGTCTAGCTGTCTCCCCAGAGCCTCGCACCATCGTGATGGTGGATTTGATAGTTTGTGGTTAATTCATGATCCAATGTGGGGATTAGGGATTATCGATGTGAGTGCTACATCTTCCCTGGGGTAGAGAGGCTGAATACAATGGAAGGAGGGGAGAGAAGCTTGGTATCTGCTGTAGCTGCTGTTCCTCCCTTCGCTCTTTGGTTTTTATTCACCATGAACAGCTTCCTCTGTCATGTGCCATTTGCTTTGGAGCCAGCTGAGTATGAACTGAAACTTCTACTACCTGTGTGCTAAAGTAGTCTTTCTTTCCTTAATTTTGGATGTTGAATATTTTGTCCCAGCAGCAGGAGGAAAGTAACTAAGACAGTTGTCGGCATGTGAGAATATCGCATCAGCTCTGCCTCGCAGGTAGGTGTGGGGTCAGGATTTGCAAATGATTTACTTCTCTCACTATGTACTTGCTTCACAGGAAACTATAACCATGTAAATATTATTACATATAGAGGTGAATTTTAGAGGAAAATTTAAGCATAGGTACATAACTAGAAAAGACAGAATTAAATGAGCTATAATAAAGAAAATGTCTAAAGGCAGAATAAATAGTTTTCTATTAGAAAGTAAAATGAATATTATAAAACTAGAGTATTTTACTTATGTATTCTCTATTATTTTAGTGATACATAGATTGAAAAATAAGGATGAAAGTCATGATGGGAAGGAAGGGAGAGAGAGAGAAAGGGAGGCAGAAAATGAAATGAAGAGCAAAGACTGAAAAGAAGAATGGCTACCCTACTTATTATAAATTTTATAATTTATGGAATCCAAAAGAATAGTGCAGAATGTATCAGTCAAAAGAAAAAGACATTTACTGTTTTGTATAGAAGTATTAGAAGAATTTACACTATTGAATCATGATGCTGCCCATACAGTCAGGTGTGCAAGAGTGCAAAACAGCTGTGAACAGACCGCAATTCTGGAGGATGTTTTCCAAGGCCTGGAGCTCACTGTTGTTTCTCGTGCACATCTGTATCAGGAGCCTGAGGATCTGTGGTGGAAATTTGATGGGTCTGCACCATAAGGTTGAAGGATCTGTGAAGGAGGCTGGAGTCTGCTCTAGAAGGCTGAAGAGTCTGTATTGGAATCCAGGAGATGAGGTACAATGCGGAGATTAACACTGAAGTGCCTCTGAAGAAACACAAATGACTCTTTCTTGTTTGTTTACCTTTTATACCATTCATCCAACAAACCTGTCTAGGGTGGGCCTTTTGTTTTCAGTAAATCACCTCAGCCACAGCTCAGTCTGTGCTAATCCTATTTAATCAAGAGTTTCTTACTCAAGGAGGATTTAATTCCCTAATTAAAGGATTTAATTCTCTAATGTCCATCATTTATTTCTGCATGAGACAGCTCCTCATAATTGGGACTGAATTAGGTACATTGATTGTTAGGGTTAGGAAATTCACCCAAAAATTCCTCAAAATGTACAAGTTAATTTGTCATGCATACAAGTCACTTCAAGATGCACAGAAGTGATGTTTATCCATCAAATGAAATTCATATAGAAGAGATGATAAAGGCGCTATTTCATATGAACTTATGCAATTGGTTGTAATGCGCAATGTTTACTTGACTTGGAGACTTCACTGCAGCTCATGAATTGCCGGTTCTGCTCAGATCCTGTGATGTTAATACAGAAGGGAAACCCCAGAGGCCAGCAGGAAGCCTTCACCCCACTGCTTCCTTCTCTGCACCTGCTCCTGGGACCCTTCCTGGTTCTCTTCTACAACAGCTACCCCTGCTGGTTCTGAGCGCCCCCGCAGGAAAGTTTGTGTCTGGCCCCACACTGATGTTCCCTCACTGTGTGTCTCTTGCACAGTAATACATGGCTGTGTCCTCGGTTCTCAGGCTGTTCATTTGGAGATACAGCGTGTTCTTTGCGTTGTCTCTAGAGATGGTGAAGCGGCCCTTTACGGAGTCTGCGTAGTATATGGTACTACTACCACTACTGATGTAGGCGATCCACTCCAGCCCCTTCCCCGGAGCCTGGCGGATCCAGTCCATGCTATAGCCCCCGAAGTTGAATCCTGAGGCCACGCAGGAGAGTCTCAGGGAACCTCCAGGCTGCACCAAACCTCCCCCGGACTCCAGCAGCTGCACATCAGCCTGGACACCTGCAGACAGAGACAACCTGTTCAGGAACTGTCACACATGTCCAATGTTTATCCCATTTGTGCCATTCACATACAGTGTCTCTTGCTCCTGTCAATTACCTTTGAAAACCATAAGGAGGAAAACCCAGCTTAGAAGAGGCTCCATGATCAGCTGTCTGTGGTCTGTCCTGATCACCAAGTGAGAAAACCTGGCGTTCAGGACTGCGCTCCCCTCCAGAGCTACAGGGTCAGAGCTGGGCTGGTTTTCATCAGCAGAAGGACGCCTTATTTGCATGGTCTCTTGGTATAAAACTGGCTTTTCGGAAGGATAATTCAGAGAGGGCAGTGCTAACATCCTATATGAGTGTAGTGGGCAAATTTAGCAACAATTTTTTTTCAAAAATTTGAAAACCAATTATGAAATGTTTGGTATTTATCTGTTCATCCAGTTTTATTTTTCATGTCGACATAGCATGCACTTTTGTATTAAATTTCCACTTTCAAATGTGAAATTATGAAAGTGTGAGAAACAGTTTTCTTTCCCGTAGAAGAGGTGATGTGCTGGAAATTGTGTCCTCACATTCTGGACCTATAGTCTCCTCAATTATTAACAAATTGTTTCCTATTTCAGCCCTTGCACAAAGAGGGACACAGCTGCTGGTGTTTCTATTCCCTCTTCCTGTAGGGAGAACATGTGTGAATTGGCAGCCTTTGCTGTTTGCTGAGGAAAAACAGAACCAGCTATCTGCTAGTAAATCTCTCATTTTCAGCTATCAGTCTCTCATTCTTGCATTTCAACTTCTATACAAAAAGCACACATCGTATAGCTTGGATCATGCTTTATATAGAATGTTTATTTGAAATATCGACACATGATTATGTCAGTTAGAATTCTTGGTTTATGCTGTTCATTAATTTCTCAGTACTTCTGAACATACAGCTCAGCGGTAGGCTACTTGCCTACTGACTGTGTGTTCTTTATCGCCAGTAGTGCTAAACTACACAGAAACTTAACAATCAAACAAGTTAAAAAATAATTCTACTTAATTCTTTAGTTAATGACAACAAGGGCACAGGTGCCTTTTTGGCTACTGTTTATTCATGTTTTTACCCCATCATGGAAGAAGAAACCTGTATTGTTAGGGCTGCGCAGGCTACTTCCTGGGTGATGGATGTTCTGAACACAGGGAGGTACAGTGGAGGTACCTGGTGGGAGGACACAAATTACATTTCCATAAAAAGGTAGAAAAACCAAAACAGGGGCTGAGTTTTTATATTTGTTTGATATTCTTTGAGGAAGCACATACATGAGAACTGCAGGTGCATACTTAAGACAAATTCATGATGACAGGCAACACATGGGAGCTAATATTCAGGACATTATGTGCCGACTGTCGTTTATGCTCCATGTCTGGGGAAATGAAGATTGCCTCTTTTATTTCATTTTCATCAGGCTTTACCAGGAAAAATGTAACATGGGCTTATATTGGTTCTATTTCATTTCCTTTGGTTAAATTGAACAAAGCCAAGATCCAAACTCCAGCATTAAATGCAGGCACATTAGCAAAAATGAACATTTTCTAGCTATACTTGACCACCTTAGGCTTTTTTAAATGAAGAGGAAAGCTTACAATAGCAATTCTGAAAAATAAAACCATGCACAGAGCAAGGAAATGGTGTTTAAGATTTGAAAGTTCCAACAAAAATTACAGAGAGATAAAATTCAAGGTATATTCTATTTGGAGAAGTGTAATGTATTGAGAGTTTTCTTAATTGGAGATAGTAGTACATCCACCACACTTTTGCACAAAATATATCATTGTGATTTTCATTGTGGAAAACATTAACTTTAATAACAAAATTGAATCAAACTTCTTTATATCATACCAGATACTTGTGTAATCCATCTTTCTGGTGACTTTAGTAACTGCTGCTAGTTCCTTATAAACAGTTTTGATCCCTATTTCAAATTTCTTTTATTGTTATTATTTTTTATTATTTGACACAGGTGCTCACTTTTGGTGGATGGCCTGGTACACCTGGAGTTCTGGGCTGGCAGGGCATGTGGTACCAGAAATCTAACCTGGGTCCTTGTGCTTGCCTGGAGGATGATTAGACTGCTCAGCTATCTTCCCAGGCCGTTATTTTAACTTCAAAAAGAAAATGGAAAAAAGCACCAGGATGTGTGCAAATACTCAAATACATTATATTTACCACCTCCAGTTTCTCATAAATTTCAATCAGTTTTTAATTTTATTTATTTATTTTTTGCAGAAGTGCGGATTGAACTCAGGCCCTTGCACTTGCCAGCGAAGCTCTTATTCTACTGAGGCATCACCCTGGCCCCTATTTTTTATATTATTACATTCATAATTATTGGACCATCTTGCAAAATGAATAATATATTTACTATTACATGATTTATAATATAAATTGTTCAGCTTCAGCATAACTTGTTCATATTTGTCTCTAACATTCAAAAAACTGATTTTATCATCACCTTTTGTAGCAAAAAACTCTTCCAGGTATTGAGAAGGTGTCTCATGCACAGCAGGTGGAAAATATTTCCCAGAATTTTGATTTCTAGTATCATTTTTAATTTGACATTGACAAAAATACTTCTTCATTTTCCAAGTAGTCCTATTTTTTCCATTTTTGATATTTGTAGTTTCATATAGAAAGGGTGTTCTACATAAAGCAGCGTGTGAAGCTCACAGCTAAATCACAAATAGGTTTTCTGAGCACAAATACACTTCAGTATGCAGAAATGTTGTATGTGAACTTTTCATTTATCTAGTATATTTGAAAAAAGGGCTAAGATTGATTATCATGTGTCTTGCCTGTTTCATCATGCACAATCTTTAGAAAAACTGGCTTTTAATCAAAACTGCAAGTGACAGTGGAACATACTGACTGCTGATTTAATTTGGTACTACAGGCTTGATTCATGTAGAGAGATCAGTCTTACTTTAAGTTTTATACCAGTATTACAAGTGTCCATCAGTGAAAAATCACAAAATGTTTTCATGCATTTTCAAGAACACTTTGACTGCATGAGTCTTACAACAAAGATGCTCACGGTTCACATGATGCTTACTTATGGGGCTTCTATTGTACATGTGGTCATCACTGATCAAAGTGTCATTACAGACAGTAAAAGGCCCAGTGTTTGTGGAAAGAAATCTTGCCCACATACAGGAAGAAATCCTGCCCATAGGACCCATATGACCGATAGAACCGATAGGACAGATAGGACCTGCAATAACTTGGTATGTCTAGATAAATTTGGAATAACTTCGTGGTATTAATTCCAAGGGTATATTCAGTGCGGGATGCATGCACAATCATTCAAAGTTCTTGCAAAACAGAAGCTGAACTGGGGAGACATCTCAATAGAATAAAGTCCTGAGTTCAATCCCTGAAAAAAAAAGAAAAGAAAAGAAAAAAGAAAAACAACAACAACAACAACAACAACAACAAAAAACCCCCAAAAAAACCATTGCCAAAAGGGAACGTAACTGTTTTGAAGGAAAAATAATAAAGTTTCTAGGCCCAGCGCCCAGGGACGGTGGGTCCTAGACTGCTGCAGGGCAAACACCTTCTCAATTCCTGGCTCTTGCCTTCCGTGTCCTGTTCACGCGAGGTTACATTTCCTTCTTGGGCTCTGCTGGTGTGTGCATTCCATGGCGACTCCGGACGCGCTTCTATGGGCTTCTTCCTCCTGTGTTTTTCCATTTCCACACAATCCCTATTGCAAGGCTGTTGTTCATCTCCTGCGCATGTGGGCCAACTTTCGGGGGAGGGGTCTCAACGGTGGAGCGCCCCCCCCAAAAGTCCATGACTCCATCAGTTGTTTTAGTTGAAACAATTTGTGCATAAAGCCTGATTCTAAACATGTGGGGAGATTACCATTAGCTATTGAGTACCAGACATGGCAAATCTCAAATGGTAGTGAAATTTCAGCTTGTCAGTTTGTTCCCTCTTGACACCTCCACAACTTTCCTGGCAGAGTCAAACTAGGTCAGAAGGAAGCATGGCAGACCCCTTCAAGGTAGCCTCTCCACCCTCTTATCTCCGCAGGAATTATTTTCATTTGAATTTCTATGCAATAGATGTTCATTGTTTTCTAATCAGGTAGCTTTTCCTTAATGTGGCAGTACTCTATCTTTCTATTACACTTATAGCGCTTATATTTACTTACAATGCACACTGTTACCAGTTTGCCTTTATGGTATTTGCTTGAATACATTTGTGACCCTCAAACACATGAGATGATCATTAAAATTATTTGATCCAGGTATATTTGAGCCCTATCGTACCTGGACAATTTTTTACTTATGTATTTACTTATGTATTTGGTATAGGGCCTCACAGCACACCTCTGACTGGTAGTGATCCTCTTGTTTGCAGCCTCCCCAGCCCTGGAATTACAGGCATGGCCTACTACAGCCTGACACAGTCACTACCTCAGCACATCCAACAGCAGGGTTGGTGAAGCATTCGGTCCCAGGGATTCAACTCTGGTTCCTGTGCTTACCTAATCAGGCATTTAGTTTGCTGAGCTATATCACTGGCTCTTATACCTGGACATTTTAGATGTTTTATCAATGATATTTAGAGAAAGAAAGAAAATGCATGAAACAGTCAATTTGCACCATTTATAAATAATGTTGGCTTAAAACACACTTTTGAAAATCACTTGACAAATTTTTGGATCAACTGAAAAAAATGACTATTGGAATCTCCACATTCCTTGATTTTCAGAATCATCTTTAGTAAATTAATTTATTATTTATTTCTCAATTTATTTATTATGAATTTAGTGAATGTATTAAAATGATTAGTTTTAAGACCTTTTTAGGAGAATGTTATGCAATATTTAATGTGGGTAGATTTAAATATTGGTTCTTCTGTTGTTAAACGACTGATATATACATTTTTGTTATCTGTTGTTGCTTTTGTTGGAACCAGGTATTGAACTCAGGCCCTTGCGGTTGCCAGGGAAGTGTATATTCTGCTGAGCCATCTCCTCAGCCACTTTTGGTAAATCTTTATTAGGTTAATAATGTCATAATCAAACTTCTCCCTATATGAGCTATGTAAGATAATCTATTTGTACTCATTGTTACAAGTTTAAATGCACTTTTCTATTTTGATTTTATGTATGTTATTTACCATACCAAAATATTTTTTCTT